CGCATTGCTTCACGAGATGCGCGCAGGATCCACAGCTGTGTGCTTCCTGCGAGGTGAGTCCGCCCCCCGCACCTCGCGCCTCGCACCCCTTCACCCTGAGCCTCAGCTTCTTGGCTAACCTTGCCTTTCCTTTCTTGCTCTCCCTGCAGGCGGCTTCCAACGCTTCCAGGCATGCTGTCCGGATCTGTGCTCTGAAGCCCCTGCCCAGGCGCTATCTCCTGCAGGGGCAGAAAATAACAGCTCTGACCCTAGGGTTCCCATCTATGACCAGGTAAGTTGAAATCAGAATTCTATGGACATACTTGAGGGATGCCTCTGGGGAAAGCCAGGGGTGTGTTCAAATACACGTGTGTGTGTGTGAGTGTGTGTGTGTGTGTGTGTGTGTGTGTGTGTGTGTGTGTGTGTGTCTGAATGTTAAGTTCTGTCCTAGGTCAGAGAACTGGCTTAGGGCTCTTCTTGTTTTTAGCCAGCTCATGATGTCTCTGCCTCACTCAGGGCTCAAGCCCTCCAGGCCAAGGCTGAGGTCTCACCACTGTTCCCTTCCTCCTCCAGGGTGGTCCTGTGGAAATCTTGCCTTACCTGTACTTGGGCAGCTGCAGCCACTCCTCAGACCTTCAGGGGCTGCAGGCCTGCGGTATCACAGCGGTTCTCAATGTCTCTGCTAGCTGCCCCAACCACTTTGAGGGGCTTTTCCATTACAAGAGCATTCCAGTAGAAGATAACCAGATGGTGGAGATTAGTGCCTGGTTCCAGGAGGCTATTGGCTTCATTGGTAAGAGTGCCTCAGCTCAGGGGTCTGGGAACTGTAGGGGAGCAGGTGGAGGGCCTGATTCCTCTTTTTACCTTCTTACCTAACTCCTTCCTTCCCATTTCCTTTGCAGACTCAGTGAAGAATAGTGGGGGCCGGGTGTTGGTGCACTGCCAAGCCGGTATCTCTCGCTCGGCTACCATCTGCCTGGCATACCTGATTCAGAGCCACCGGGTTCGGTTGGATGAGGCCTTTGACTTCGTTAAGCAACGCCGGGGAGTCATCTCCCCCAACTTCAGTTTCATGGGGCAGCTGCTACAGTTTGAGACCCAGGTGCTATGTCACTGAGTCGAACCCTGGCTTGCTCCCACAGTGCTGCCTCTCACGGACTCCTGGGGGGGGGGGAGCTACTGTGGACTGCTGGACTCCTCTCTAGCCTAGCTCATTCCTCCTCACCTTGTCCTCAACTTGAGGTGCTAGGAAAGCCAGGACGATGGCTTTTCTGATATGGTGCTCATCTGCTGGGGGATTAAGGGCTGGCCCTTATTCAGGGGACCAGGGCAGATTGTATATTATATTTGCTCTCCCTCCCCCAACTCTGGCAGAAATTAATTGGACTCTAAACCCATGTATTCCAGTCCCACTATGTTAAAGCCCTTGGTAGCCCAAGGACTCAAGGAACAAGCTGTGACAAGCAGGAACCATGTCTAGGGGGTGTACACACCACAACCCAAACCTCGAGCCTTGTGCTCCCAGGGGATCCAGGAAGTGATGTGTGTGTCATGTTACTGACATCTTGCTTTTGTGTGTAAGTATGCGTGTGTCTCGCCACAGTTGGTGCTGAAAAGTTATTTGTGTTCAACTGACATTTAACACTCCCTCCCTGACTTCTTCCCAGCCCTGTGGGCCAGGGAGGGGGAATTGGAAACAGCACTTTATATTTATAAAGAATATTGAGGATGTGCCAATAAAAAAAAGTGTTTTGTTTAAAAAAGAGCAATAGCACAAGTGTCTGGTATCAGTTCATGCCTGGGGTGGCTGAGCAATTGTGTCTTCTTCGCCCTGGCCTGGGGTCTTTGCCACACAGGGTCTAGCTTGTGGTTGAACTGGGAGCGTTCAGGGAGTCTTCCCTGATCAGACCCCCACTTACTTCCCTGAGAACTACATTTTCTCAATGTGTGATGTGCAGGTGTGTGTTGACTGAGGGCACTCAGGTCATTGTCTGGAACTCAGAACAGAAGGCACTAGTTTCCTGGGGCTGTGAATGAAGGATACACAACCTGTCCCTAGGGCCCATTCTCTCTGCCCTAGGGTAAGGTACTCAGGGGTTAGGGTTGTTCTCAGCCTTCCTCCAGGTCTATGTCAGTTTCTGTTGGGACCTGCCTGTGCTCTTGATGCTCAGGGTGGGTAAGGGACACGTGGGCCACAGAGTCCTTAACATCATCATCTCATACACAGCATAACTGATGGCTGGCTGTCCCTCTTCACCTCATTCCTTATCCTCCTGTGTTTACTACTTACCCTCCTAACGAATGGTCTTCCTTTTCTTTCATTTTTTTTTTTTGAAAGAAAGGGACAGTCTTAACTATATAGCCTTGGCTTGCCTGGAACTAGATATGTAGACCAGGTTGGCCTCAAATTCACCAGAGAGCCTCTTGCCTTTGCCTCCTGAGAACTATGATTAAAGGCGTGTACCACCACAAATACATTTCATACTCTCTTTAAAATTTAATTGTTAGATAAAAATAACAAATCTTATCAACTTTACCAGTCTAAGTGTTCAATAGTGTTAGATAAATCACAGTAATTTTCTCTAGAACTTTCCATCTTGAAAACGGGAAGGCATTATATACTAACTCCCAAACCCTCCTCCAAGTGGCCTCTGCATTCTGCTGAATTGGTGACTTTGGGGACCCCAGTGAGTAAGGACATACAGCATTTTCCCCCTTTTAAAAACATACTTCTTATTCTTTGAGAATTTCATACATGTACCCAATATGTTTTGATCATATTCACCTCTCCCTGCTCCAATCCCAACACACCCCCTTCCACCTTCATGTCCTCTTTGTTTTGTAACACACTAAGTCCCATTAGTCCTTCCCAAATGCTCATGAGTGTGGGGTCATCCAATGGAGAAAAATGACTCTAGCCACCATCAGTTGCCAATAGCTGCTTAGCTAGAGGCCTCGAGAGCCCCTTTCCCGGAATTTTGACTGGCTCGATCTTGCACAGGTCACCTTAGTGACCACAAGTTTGAGTGCCATTGCCATGTGATTTCCAGAAGCCAGTGTTTCTCAGCTCTGCTCCCTGTCTGCTGGCTCTTACATTCTTCTTTCTGCTCCTTGTCTCAGATGAGACATTCTCTGTGCCTCAGAGGGGACAGTGTGACATCGATGTCCCATTTAAGGATGAGCACTCACAGTCACTCTCAGCACACTGACCAGTTATGATTCTCTGTGTTAGCCTCTGCTCTGTGCAAAAAGCTTTGCCGGCCAAGGCCGAAAGCAGCCCTGGTTCACCAGATGAATTTCTAGCACAGCTGCACTGAGTTAATTCAAAGTTCTCAGATCCCTCTGGCACCAGCAGATTCCGTGGAGCCCTATGACTCACGTCCACCAGTATCGTCTTCTTGTGACCAGCTTACTTAGTCTACCTTATTTCACAACATTCCTGTTTGAAGGAAAAACTGCATTCTTTGACCAGATTGAGATTTTCTACCCAAGCAATGTGATGGTGATGATTTTACTAAGCACATTTAACTAGTTAGGTCATTATTATATATATTCTTTGAGACAGGCCTTCACTATGTAGCCCAGGCTAGTCGGAATCTCATGGTTGCTATTTTAGACTCCCAAGTTCTGTGATTACAGGTGTGAACCACCATGACACCCCCCTGAGTGTTTAAGGTTGTACATGGGAAGCTTTGACATATTCGTGCATTGTGAACCAGTCTTTCAACCAAGCTAATTAGCATATTCATTGGATGCATTGAAACCAGTTAACACCCTACTTAGGCATCAGTGGCATCTGCCTTTATATCCATTCCCTCCTGTGGCTTTGACTTCAATTTCTTGAGAAATGCTGGCCTCAGGTTCAGCAGGAATGCTGTCAGGCCTGTGTGGTCAACCACCGGTGCCCTTGGCTGTGGCTTTCCTTCAGTGGGCACTGGGGTGGATTGGTTGGTGTGCTCCAGGCTGTCAATGCAGGTAGGATCTCTTCATGAGGGTGTAACCAATAAGAAGGGAATTGAGGACCTTTGCATTTTGAATTAGCGAAGTGGGAAGGGGCTCCAGCTGATCAGGCCACGGGGCTGTGGCTTTTTTTTTTTGTTTTTTTTTTTTTTTAGGAGGGCTTCCCTGTGTAGCTTTGGCTGTTCCAGAGCTCACTCTGTACACCAGGTTGGCTTTGCTCTTACAGAGATCCACCTGCCTCTGCTTCCAGAGTGCTGGGATTAAAGGTGTGCCCCACCACCACCTGGCTGGAGCATTGTAAGGACCACATCCATGTGAGGGTATGAGTGTTCAAAAGTGTCTGTGTGTCATGAACACTACCACTCCCCACCCCCTGCCCATGGCAAGTGCTCCTGAGTGCTAATGATGCTGGGTGTTCATTGTGAAGTTTCAGAGTCCTGCAACCCATGACTGTACTTTCCTATATGGATTCTGAAATAAAAGCCTATAGCCAGGCATAGTGGCGCATGGCTTTAATCCTAGCACTCATTAGGCAGAGACAGGCAGACCTCTGAGTTTTAGTCCAGCCTTGTGGTCTACATAGTGAGCTCCAGGACAGCCAAAGTTATATAATGAGACCTGTCTCACTCTCCTTCCCCCGCCTCCCGAAAGAGAAAGACAGAAAACTTTATACAGGTGTAGTGACCACACCTTCCATCATCAGATACTTCAGGGAAGGGTGTCTCGAGTTCTCAGGCATATTTTCTGTGTCTGAGTCCCCTGGTAGGGGGTGGGGCAGGAAAAGCGGTCACTTCTAGTGCTGGGGTCTCAGTCCCGCCCATGAACCTTGCTGCGATGCTTCTCCGCCCTCTGGTGGCAAGAGGGTTTCTCAGCTACGCTGCCAAGAGGTTTGTTTTGTGTCCCCTGCCCACTTTTTAACCCACTTCAGCCAAGGTGGGTGGGACTATGGTCCAGAAGGCTCAGGCCTGGGGGAGTGTCCTCGGGTAGGAGTAAGTCCGTCTTCAGGTGGCAGCTGTTGGGAGGTTCTTCCTGGAGCTGGTTGGGAGGCTGCAGGTGTGGGCTGGAGGAGCCGCTATTATTTAAGGGATGGGTGGTCTAGCGCCTGTGCTTAGGATGTCCTTTCCTGTTATGGTTCTGTACATTGCTTGCTGAGAGCGTAGTGAGGACCTGCTATGGGGAGCGTGGGAGACCTTCGGCCTTGGATGCTAGTTTTGCTCTCCTTGCTGGGTAAGCTGGCTCTGCACTGGGAGGTGGCCAGGGGTGGTGGCTGTGGGATAAAGCAGTCTTACATGAGCTTCATGGTTCCACATGGAGGTCTCCAGGGGTGTGCCTAAAAGCGAGCTCCTGGGGACCGAGGAGGCCTCCCAACACCTGTAGGAGCAGAGGTGCCACCTGACATAGATTGCTAAGTGTCACACCACATACCTACTGCTGGGGCAGCAGTCACTCAAACTGAGCCTGGGTTGAGGAAGAAGTTGATGACAAGGGTCTGAGCCTAGCCCTGAATCTGGTGCCACCTCAAGATTCAAAGTCCATTCTGCCTCTTTTCTTTATTCCTTCTTCCTCATGTGCTGCCCTAGCCAAGTGCTAGTCCCTTAAAGGGCTCTCCTTCAATGTAGGCATCAAGACCCTGCTTCCAGGTGGGGCTGAGTGGGAAGCCTAGGCAGACTTCGGGATGCATGGCAGGAGGCCTCTCCTGAAAGGGGTTGGGCCTTGCTTCCCCATGTCCTGCTGTCCTAGTTCACCAATGGAGCTCTGGGAGCATCTATGTGTCTGCATTTGTCTGCCTGGCCAGGTTTGATCTTGGCAGCACCCTTAGCACCCAGATGTTCAGACGGAGTCTGCAGTACCAGTGTCCCAGAAGGCTTCACTTCTGAAGGGAGCCAGGTATCTCAGGACAAGGACATCCCCGCAATTAACCAAGGTGAGACCACTGGATCATGCTGACAAAAGCCACACTGAGTATGGGCATGCAGAAAAGGTTGAGATGTCCACAATTATCAGGGACTTCTAAATAAGTGCAAGTCTCATGAGGAAATGCTTAAGTCTTTTCTGTATTTTTTGCTGATTAATTATTTTTTTATTTAACTTTTATTGATTTCTCTGTGGATTTCACATCATGCATCCTGATCCCACTTATCTTCCTGTCCTCTTGTCATCCACCCTCTGCCCCTGCAACCTCACCGCCAAAACAAAACAAAATTTAAAAGCAAAACCAAAGCAAAACCAACCAAACAACAACGGAAGCTGTAGTGTAGCCAGTTGAGTCACACAGTCTACCCCTTAGTCCATTCATCTTTACCTGTAAGTGTTCATTGCTATGAGTCATTCACTGATCTGGTTCACGGCCTCTGGCTTCTGCTACACCACAAATAATGGGTTCTCTCTGGAACTCCTCTTGAATATCCCACTGTTGTCTTGTGACATGAAGACCCTGCTGTTTTGGATCTGTAGGTTCATCCCCTTCACCTGCTCCCAACAGTTCCTTGATGAGGTGGATGCTGAGATGGGCCAAGTTCATAGCCCTAGTTCTGGACCTGGGTGGTAGCTGGGCTGGTCAGCACACCAGCTTTCCCTCACTGTCACTACCTGGTGTATGAGTTGAGTTCTAGGACAGCTAGGGCTACACAGTGAAATCCTGTCTCCAGAGAGAGACAGAGAGAGACAGAGAGAGACAGAGAGAGACAGAGAGAGACAGAGAGAGACAGAGAGAGACAGAGAGAGAGAGAGAGAGAGAGAGAGAGAGAGCTCTCAGCCTGGGAGTTGAGCAAAATCATTGGTAGCTATTTGAGAACAGAACATGCCGGTCACTTTGTGAGGGACAGTGTGCAGGCATGACCTAGCCGGTGGCGGGGGATGAGATATTAAAGAAGCCAGTGGCTCAGGGCCTCCCTGTCTGGGAATCTTAGACAATGAGGAGCACAGCCGCATTGGGCTGAAACTGGTAGCAATGAAGATGAATTCGGATATTGCAGATATCAAGGCTGAAGGGGGGAATAGCGGTAACCTTGGCTTAGGGTGGGTGGTGCCACAGTGTGATCTGCTCCCTTTATTTGTGAGCTGGTTAGAAACTTGGATGGACACCAATCCTTACTCAGACGTCCTCTGGAGGTAGCCAGAGCTAAGAGTCTTCCTGGCACTCCCTTTCAACGCCATGGAGGAGCTTCTCTCATGCTGGGATTCACAGTACTTGCTAACAGCTGCCCCTGTCTATCTGATGTCTTATTGTGAGATGCTGCTACGCCCAGGTGCTCTGAGTGACGGCTCTGATGGCTGTTAATACCACACAACTGTACCAGGTCTGAATCATTCTGGAAGGTTCTCAACCTGCCTAATGCTGCTGCCTCTCAATACAGTTCCTCATGTTGTGACCCCCCCACCATAAAATTATTTTGTTGCTACTTCATAACTGTAACTTTGCCACTGTTATGAATCATAATGCAAATATCTGTTTTCTGATGGTATTTGGTGACCCCTGTGAAAGGGTCATTTGATTCCCAAAGGAGTCATGACCCACAGGTTGACAACCACTCTCCTGGAGAGTGGCCTTTTAGATTTAAGTATGCAGCTTTGATCAGAGCTCTTGAGGTGATTCCTCTTACCTGAGGAGGACTCATAAGGGGTGTCACTAGTCTGTGTCACCATCTGTTGTCTGAAGCTCTGAGATCAGGCCGTGCTCCTGCATGCCTCTCAAGCCTTCTGTGGTTTCTTCAGTGCCTCATGGGTCCTCCTGAGATTTCTCTTCCCAGCAGTCAGCTACCGAAGGCTCCCTGACTAGGAGAAAGACGAGAAGCCAAAGCAAACTGAGACAAAAAGTATTTACCCTCAACTTCCTTCTGTGGTTATGATGTGTAATTTCGGTTTCTTTACCTCAAGGGTCCAGAATGTAACATAAATAACGGGAAGTAGATAGTGGGTGGGGCCTGGTAAGGCAGGAGAGACCAGGGCATGTTCTGGGGAGTGTGGTTTGGGCTGGAGTGAGCCTGGATGGAAGAAGAGGCTGATCCTGATAGCAGAGGGCTTGGAGTTGGGACTGGATCACCGGTGCTGAGGGAGCCATGACCTATGTTTGAACAGGGGAAGGATATGAGCAGGTTGAGAAGCCTCACATTTTTTTGTAGGCTGGAACTCAGCAGCCACCTAGCCTTGGTGCTCAAGGAAGCTTATCTCCAAAGTAGAAGGCATAGACACTGACATTGCTGGGTCTGTCCGTGTTCTGTAAGTCACAAGTGACACACATCTCTTCCTTTCCCTCCCAGGGCTCATCTCTGAGGAAACCCCAGAAAGCAGCTTCCTGGTTGAAGGCGACATCATCCGGCCAGTGAGTTGTGTACATGTGGTATGAGCAGCCGCAAAGCTGTAAGAGAACCCTCAAAACCCTCTTCTGGGTGTCTTGAGGGCTTTGGTCTGTGTGAGTGGTTAGGTACAGCTTTCAAGGTCATCATGAATATGATAATGGTGACAGCTGAAATGGCAACCTAATGAGCCTAAGAGGGCTCCTTGGAAGAGCAGACTCAAGCTCTCAGACCCCACTTGACACCCTGCCCAGGAGGAGTGCTTAGGAAGCACAAGGCTGGAGACATGAGCCCAGACAGACTTATACATGTGTGTGAGTCCGAGATGGCTGTCAAGATCCCCCTCGGAAAGCCAGAACAAGGAGGAACGTGGAGAGACCATCTTGGATAGAGACAGAGGGCTGAGTCAGAAGGGAGGAGGCTGATGGGAATGGAAGTGACATTGCAGAAAGAAGACACATTGTTTAGGAGAGTAGCACCATATTGTAGGTGGCAGAAGGCTGCTGAATATGACAATGAGCTGTGGAAAGCAAGACTATTCTTGTTTAGAGGTGATGGATGACTACTGAGGCTGGGCTGGAGTTTCATCGGCATGACAGTTTAAGTTATCCATTAGAGATGAATACTCACATGCCTGGCATTTGAAACCCTTAGAGCAGAATTAAATCAAGTTGGTGGCTAGGACCTTCTGGCAGTTATAGTTCATGGAAGATGAGAGAGTAGCATTTGTGAGCATCACCCTGAGTAGGACCCTTCCTGTTCTTATGTTAGGGGAAGCTTTGCCATACTCCTGTTCTGAGGAGGTGCTTGTGGGGGGCAGGGTGAGTCCTGAGCCAGGCTTCCTGGGGTACCAACCTTAGATACTTTTATATACTTGATAGAACATGTTGCAACTTCTGTTATCTGAATTCAGTCCCTTCCCCCACTTTCGTCACTCCTCTGGTTTCCTCACTCCCAAGACCCTCCAGGTCCTGCCACCCACAACTTTAGAGTGTGATGGTCTGAGGCATGGCACCCTAGGAGTAGGACACTTAGGTGGCCTGTGTCCTCCACTGACTCTGAGCTGCCCTCTCTCCTCAGAGCCCCTTCCGATTGTTGTCAGTGACCAACAATAAATGGCCCAAGAGTGTTGGTGGCATTGTGGAGATCCCCTTCCTGCTCTCCAGCAAGTATGGTGAGTGAGAGCTGAGGTGGGACTTCCTGCCCTTCTCCTGTATGCAGCAGGGCTCCTGCTGGGGGCTCCACCCCCTTCTCCTGTGTGTCTCTTACACCGAGAGTGCTATGCAGAGCTCCTATCCCCACAACATCCTGAACTCTCTCTCTCTCTCTCTCTCTCTCTCTCTCTCTCTCTCTCTGTGTGTGTGTGTGTGTGTGTGTGTGTGTGTGTGTGTGTACCGGAAGAGCTGATGGAACTCTCTAGTCCTCTCTGGGCTGCGTTCCTCTTCAACACTGTCCTCTCTGAATACTGTTTTGGAAGGTGGGCTTAATGCCTGGTCCTGGCCCCCATGCATACTTCAAAGGTCCTCAAAAGCTATGGGACCTTGACAGGGAGTCAGCCATGGTGTGTGTCTTTCCAGATGAGTCCAGCCGCCGGGTCATTATAGAGGCCTTTGCTGAGTTTGAGCGTTTCACATGCATCCGGTTTGTTGCTTACCAGGGCCACAGAGACTTCATTTCCATCCTTCCTATGTCAGGGTAAGTGCTCCTGGTGTGTGTGTGGGAAGGGTCTGTTCATCCCTTAGTGTGCACAGTGGTATTAAGCCTATTTCTGGGCCTGTTTTCTTGGGTTCAGCCCTTGTCTACCCTGAATGGCTCACTCATTACCTGGATCTTCTAGGCCAAAGGTGGGTGAGGGATGACCACTGGGCATAGGACCCTCCTCGACAAAGCCCTCATCTCCTGGAGGTCTTTGGTATGAGTCTGGGCAAATGTTGAGGTCCTAGTTCTGCCACTCAGGGTCAGTCACCTAATTTAGCCTCTTCTGGCTTCTTTCTGAGGAAGAAGCCTATCTCCTCCTTTCATTGGAGCCTGACATGGTGTGGCTGGAAGCTGTGATTCAGGCTTGTGACATAGGTCTGCTCAGACAATGACATGCTCTATCATGCATGAATGTCAGGTCCCACCTTTTGGCATTAACGAAGCTGCAGATGACACCCTCTTCACAGGCCAAGCAGTCAGGGGACCTGGGAAATGGGAGAGTAGTAAGTCTGGAGCTAAAACCCAGAATGGGGACTGGCAGTCTGATACTGGTCCATCCCGGGTTCTAGAGCACAGGAAATATCTATTCTGCTGACTCTTCTAGGCTGATACCCAGCTTACTTAGTGCCAAGCTGCTCACTCTCATGGTCTTGCAGGTGCTTCTCTGGTGTGGGACGCAGTGGAGGGATGCAAGTGGTGTCCCTGGCACCCACTTGTCTCCAGAAGGGCCGGGGCATTGTCCTACATGAGCTCATGCATGTGCTTGGCTTCTGGCATGAGCATTCACGGGCAGACCGGGACCGCTACATCCGAGTCAACTGGAACGAGATCCTCCCAGGTGAGTCAGCTGGTGTCCAGGCTAGGTTGGGCCCAGGGAACCCCGAGGGACAGAGGCCTCAGGCCAGGGCTGGAGTTGAGGAGTTGCTCCCCTGGAAGAGTCCATCCCATACTTTCTCATGAGGCAAGTGTGGGATTCCTGCCTCTCTGGTATTTGAGAGTGGTCTTGTGGCTGTTGCTCTGGGCCTCTGTAGTTGTACCCAAGGAATGACATTAACCAGTTCCTTTGTGTCTCGCCTCTCTCTGCCACTGCCAGTCATCTGGATGTGAGGTCAACAGTGTCCTATGACTTGCTCACTGAGTGCTCAGCAACCCCCGCCCCCCAAGTTGCAGATGTTAGTGTGTGATACTGGGTCAGGGGCTACATGTGCCCAGATACATGTGCCAAGCAAGGGACAACAGTGAAAGACTTGAGGTACATAAGAGGGACATCAGTAGGCATGTGGCTGAGTGCCCTGGAAGTGGCAGAGCCAAGGCTGACAGAGGAAATGGCTGTGATGCCAGTGCGCAGCACGTGTGCCAGGCGTGGTACAGGGATCAGATGGCAGGAATGTGGGGTACCTGTATGTGGGGCTCAGATCAGTGGTGAGAATGACCACTGCCTTGGGCAGAGGGAAGCTGTGGAGGGGCAAGTTCCACAGTGTGCTTGGAGGTGCATGGGGAGTCAGAGGCCGCCTGCCAGTGGGAAGCTGGAGGGGCCTCTTCTGCTGCTCTGGGGTTGGCCAGGTGATAAGTTGGACACTTGCCCCAGAGGTGGTGCTTTGGAGGTAACCCGAGTAGCTAATGACAAAGGGATGGGAGGTGGGGCTGGGGTGGCCGTGATTCCAGGTGCTCCTGGGTGTTTGTAAGCACACAGCCTATGGACAGGCAGGCTGTGAGAAACTCTAGATTTGGAAACTCAGGTCAATACAAAACACCCAATCATGACATAAAACAGAAGCCAATAACGGACCAAACCCCAGACTACTCTCCTTAGGAGATACAGTCAAATACTTTTAGTTCTGGGAGTTAAAGGAACTTCAGGGCTTCTCAAAAAAATAAAGGAAAAGTATGTAATCTTGGCACTCTGGAGACTGAGGCAAAGGACTCTGAGCGCCAGGCTGGGTGGGGCTACATGGACTCTGCCTTTAAATAAACCATCATCAAACATTATTTAAAACCAATGGTTTAAATAGGGTAAGGGTAGGCTTGGGGAAAGTGTGGAGGCATTGATACTTATATCCATAAAAGCAAAGAGAACAAACATGCCCATTTAAGTTCGTTTTTAAACCAGGAGAATTAATTATTAAAAAGCATAAATTAGAGTTAGAAACGGCACAAATTGACTCAAAAGCTGTTTTAACAATCAAATTGATTTAAGAAAAAAACCTACCTACTAGGGAATATAGCAAAGTGGAACAGCACTTGTTTGGTTTGTAACTGGGGGGTTCCTTCCCTAGTGCCAACAAAAGCTCAGCTATCCTAATGGAATAAATACAGTTCCCTCAGAGTTAGAAAAGGTGAGAATATGTTTGCACTAATGAGCATAAACTCTGTCAGGTCATAAAAATGAATCAGTGATTAACTTTTGTGGAGATTCCGAGGTAGAAATTCAGAGGAAGCAGGTGGTGTAGGAGACTAATTATGATCTATATATTTATGTAAAATACTAATATATGTATAATATAGTATTTCCATGGTGCTGGGGATTGAGCCCAGAGCCTTGTGCATGCTAGATACTTGATTTTTTTTTTAATTGAGGCAGGGTCTTACTATGTAGTTTTGGCTGTCCTGGAACTCAGGCTGACCTCAAACTCAGAAATCCTACTACCACTGTCTCCCAAGTGTCACTATGCCCAGCTAGATACTTGGTTTTTGAGCTAGAGGGATATTGCCTATTCAGAATTATGTTTACTAATAAAGGCTATTTGGAGAGAAGAAATTGGTATTCTTTGGGGCTCTGATTAGGGTAAGGAGGCTGCTGGTGACCTTGGGGTAGAAGAGCGTGTGGATACGGCCTGCTGGGTCTGGAAAGAGGGGTTGGGGAGCAAAGGTGTAAGCAGCTCTTTCAGGAGTGGTCAGCAAACTTCCTTCCTCACTGGCCTGGAGGAGAGCAGTGGGCAACACTGGCCAAGATGACAGGTCTGCTGGGCTCCATGTCTGCAGCTTTGTGGTCTGAGATGGGAAGATGAAGGTGGTCTGGCTACTGAGGGGTCAGGCACCACACTCCTGAGTGCAGAGGACAGCTTATCTTTGAAGCTAGCTCAAGGACTAAGCAGGGTACCAGTGTCTAAGTCACAGGAGCCATAATTTTGTGGGTGCTGCAGGTTTGCAAAAATTGGTGAACTGGGAAGGAGCAAGAACTTATAGGAGGTCATGGTTGCCTGGCCACAAGGTGCCCCCTGCTTCCACATCACCTGGTATAGATCTGGATTCCTGCCAGGGTCAAGTAGAGTAGGATAGCTTAGAGTAGGGGATAGCAAAGGTGTGCCGAAAACAGAGACAGCCAAGAAAGAAGTCTCAGCAGGGGTAGTTAGACTCTTCCATTTACGTGGGTTGTGACTTCTAGAAGTTGTCCACGTCTCTCCTTTGTTTATTTTTCTCTGCCTGCCTTCCTTTTACATATCTAAAAGGTGTGTGTATGTCTGTGTTTTAAGGCTTTGAAATCAACTTCATCAAGTCTCGGAGTAGCAATATGTTAGTACCCTATGACTACTCGTCAGTGATGCATTATGGGAGGTGAGCACCCTCCCCTTTCACCTTCTCCCTGATCCCACCCCCTTCCCCTGCTCTCCCCCCACCCCCTGCCCAGTCATTACCCTCCTAGTCTCCCCTGCACTGTGATCCTGACATAGGCCCTACCCCTGGGTTCCAGGTTTGCCTTCAGCTGGCGTGGACAGCCCACCATCATACCACTCTGGACCTCCAGTGTGGCCATTGGCCAGCGATGGAACCTGAGCACCTCAGATATCACCCGGGTCTGCAGGCTGTATAACTGCAGCCAAAGTGTCCCTGATTCCCACAGGAGAGGTAAGTGGCAGGGAGAGTGACTTGATCTAGGGAATGGTGCTGAAGTGTGAGGGTAAAGAGATGGTGAGGAGGTAAGGAGAGGTGGGTCAGACACCAGACTTCATCATCACAACTGAATTTGGAAACATATTTGAAAAGAGTTAACACCCACTAGAGACAAAAACCCCTTTAGCAAAGAGAAATAGCCTACATAATGGACACCTACCAAAACTTACAAAAATATTAAATCTAGGACCGAGATAAGTTTCCCACTATCGTCCTTCTATTCAGTGTTGAAGTGGAGGTCTTAACCATTGTGGGGAGGCAAGAAGACGACACAAAGTTCTGGTGTTTAGAAAAAGGGAGCTTTAAAAAAAAAAAAACTGTTACCAGGCAGTGGTGGCGCATGCCTTGAATCCCAGCACTCGGGAGGCGGAGGCAGGTGGATCTCTGTGAGTTCGAGACTAGCCTGGTCTACAAGAGCTAGTTTCAGGACAGTCTCCAAAGCCACAGAGAAACCCTGTCTCGGAGAAAAACCAAATAAGTAAGTAAGTAAATAAATAAATAAATAAATAAATAAAAAACCAAAACAAAACAAAACAAAGAAACCTCAAAACTGTCACTAATCATAATTAGATTAGAAAAGAAGCAAAAAATGTACACAAATGTGTAAATTCCTGTATGCATTCTGAATACAGGGCACATAAAGTAGCTTTGTAAGTGCCTGGGATGGGTGCTGAGATACAGAAGTTCTTTGTGAGCAGAGTGCAAAGTTCTAAGATGGATCCTACTCAAGTATGAAACCTAGTGGGCGTGGTGGCGCAGGCCTTCAATCCAGTCCCAGCACTGGAGAGACAGAGGCAGGTGTGGATCTCTGTGAATTGGAGACTAGTCTGGTCTGCATAGTGAGACTGTCCTGGGACAGTCAGAGCTACTTAGTGAGACCCTATCTCAAAAAAAAAAAAAAAAAAAAAAAAAAAAAAAACAGTGAACCCTCCAAAGGGGGGCTGAGTGGTTCTCAACCTGTGAGTTGTGACCCATTTGGGGTTGAACAATCCTTTCAGCTATTTATAATATGATTAATAACAGTAGCAAAATTAGTTATGAAGTAGCAATGAAATTATGTTTGGGGGGGTCACCACAACATGAGGAACTGTATTACAGGGTCACAGAATTAGGAAGGTTGAGAATCACAGCACTAAATGAGACAACTAGGTATCCATATGTCTACCACCAGACACCATAAAGGTATGAAAGACTTGTACACGCATGGGGAAACTTTGAAAACTTTAGCAAGACATACAAGTCTCTATGACATTGGGATGGGGAAGAATTTATTCACAAATAACCTAACACTGCAAAGATTAATACATTCAGTAACATTAACCATAATAGCAAGAGACACCACAAGCAAACCTAAAACACAAGTTATAAAGTTGGAATGCTTCTGAACATTAGCTAGTATTGTTCTGAATTCAGAAAGAGCTATAAACAGAAAGTCAAAATACCAGATAGAAAAATGTGTGAGGTGGTTAACAGCAGAAACCAAATGAGAAGCAATTACACCATTCCCTCTCCCTAAATCAGCAGAAGTCCACAATCTCAGTGATATTTGATAATATCAAATACTGCTAAGTGGTACAGGGCAAAGGGTGATGCTTGTAACCCACTGACAGGACCACAAATTGCTGTGACCCTCTAGAAGACAGTGTGACACCCTGTGAAGCTGCTGTGTGTGACTGTGACCCAGATTTTATTTTTAGGTCATCCTACACCCGAATCCCACCCTCTTTCCCTACCAGTCCCAGTTAATCACTAATCTACCTTCTGCCTCTATGGATTTACCTTGTCTAGACATTTCATATAAATGGAGCCATGTGCCTTTTGTGTCTGGCTTACTGCCCTCAGCACGACCTTTCCTGTTCATCTCTGTATAGCACCCTCGGCACTTCATTTCTTTCCTGCCAAATGACACATTTATTCATCAGTTGATAAACATTTTGGTGGCTTCTGCTTTGGGGCTACTATGAATATACTATTGTCATTTGGTATCTACCCCAGGCATAAAGTTTCTGGGCTCCATGGTAACTCTATACTCAGCTGTCTTCCAAAGCAGTTGAATCACTTAAAACTCCATTAGCTATGTATGTGGCTACGGATTTTTCTGCATAATTGCCAAAGCATATAGTCTATGCTTTTGATTATGACTATCCCAGTGGTTATGGAAGTATCTTATTGCTCCAGTTCGTGTTTCTCTAATGGCTAACCATATCCAGCCTCTGTGAGATGGTTGGTCTTCTATATACCTTTCTGGTTTTGGACAAGTGTCTACACAGATCCTTGGCCTCATTTTCAGTTGGATTGGTTTTTCCTTGTTGAGTTATAAGACTTAGAAATCTTTTTTGTTTTTGTTTTTTGAGGCAAGATTTCTCTGTAGTCCTGGCTATCCTGGAACTCTCTAGACCAGGCTGGCCTTAAATTCAGGTCTGCTTGCCTCTGCTTTCTGAGTTCTGGGATCAAGGATATGTGCCACAACACCTGGCTTTAAAAAGTACTCTAATGATATCTCTTAGTTGGTTATATGGTTTGAAAATATTTCCTCACATTCTGTGTGCTCGACTTTTGCTTCTTAGATAACAGGAACTCCCATCTTCCCACCTTATTTTGAGATAGGGTCTCACTATGCTGAGGTGGCTGGCCTGGAACTGAATATATAGATCAGTCTGGCCTCAAATTCATAGATATCTTCCAGCCTTGGCCAGTGCTGATATTAAAAGCATGGGCACCACCATACCCGGTTTCTGTGTGTGTGTGTGTGTGTGTGTGTGTGTGTGTGTGTATCACATCAAATATTACATAATTTTGTTAAAACTAGAGAATGAGATGCTGTGGTGAGAGGATTGCAGGTCACAGAGTGGAAAATTGGGACACAATTAGGAGGACTGGTCCAAAGGGAAGGCTGAACACAACGGTGGACAGATTGGCAGGTTTTCGTGTTTAATTAATGACACACACAGCGGAGAAGGAGCAGGTGCTGGAAGAGAAAGGAAACTCAGCCAGAACTCGAGAGAGGGTCTGCCCTTGGAGGGGAAGGTCAGACACTTTCTTGGACATAAGGGAAAGAAAGACAACGGAAGTGGACCTGAGTCCACACGCAGATCTGGAGATACATGCGTGGCGTTGGCTCCACAGTGAAGTAAGGCTGCTGGCAGAACGGTGGGAGGGACAATGAAGCACAAAGCACCTGAACCTGGTAGAGATGGCAGGACGTAGGATGGTGCTGGGGACTGGGGTGTGGCAGGGACTTGTGACAGAGGGATGAAGGCTGGGGATGTGTCCAAAGGGATGGTGGCGGCTGAGGTAGGCAACAAAGCTGGTAGAGGGTAGAGACACTGCTGCTTGAAGGTGAGTTTCCAGAAATGGAGGCGGCATCTCTTGTGGTTTCTGGTGTTGCTGTGTTCAGAGAGAGGGCACGGGCTGTGAGACCAGCAGAACCAGGGAGGAAGGCGGGCCATCGGTTAAAGGAGTCAGCATGGATTGGTCACTGTGCACTGACAGAGGAATGTGAGATCATGGTATGTGAGCAGGAAAGACAGGACACGGAGGCAGCAGTGGGGGCCACCAGAGCAGGTAAGGTGGGTGATGAAGCTTCAGTGTTTCCCATGAAGCAGTGTGTTAGCCATGGTCTGGGAGTGGCAGCGAAGAGAAAGCCAAGAGGCTCTTCTGGCAGTGCACAGACCTGAGAACATGCAGAGCTTCTGATGTCCTCTCCCTTGGTTTAGACAGGAAGGGCTCCAGAGGATGTCTAAGATGTGGGGGTGGGAGGTGGCTGTAGAGTAGCCCAAAGAAGGACCTGGTAGGAGTAGGCTGTCGTGCTTGGGTAAGTAGGATAACAGAGTAACCCAACTGGGCTGCTGGGATGTGGGTAGGAGGCCAGATCTTTTAGTAGTGACCCAAGGGGCTCAGTAAGAAGGATATGCCACACCTCCATTGTCCTTGTTTTTCCTATTTGTTTTCAAGACAAGGTTTTTCTGCATAACCTAGGCTTGACCACAAACTTGCAACCTTTTTGTTTCAGTCTCCCAAGTACAAAGATATAGACATAGACCATCACACCCAACAGTTGTAGTGGTGTGTTGTAGAAATATAAGAGTTTGTGCCTTAGCAGAAACCTCATGGGCTATCTCAGGGAGTCTGGCACCATTTCCACTTACGGAAAGCAAAGGCAGCATTAATTCTTTTGGCCATGCTCTATACGCTTTCTGTGATTCTGAAACCTAAATTCTCTCTCCTGCTCCAGGGTTCGAGGCCCACAATGATGGAAGAAGCCTCTCTCCTGCCTCGCTATCACATCTACAAAGACTTCTGGAGGCACTGTCAGAAGAATCTAGAAATTCTGCCCCCAGTGGCTCCAGGACTGGAGGCCAGGGTATCATTCCCAGGCTTGTAGACAGCCAGCAACGATGGGAGCATCTTGCTCAGAGCAAGTTCAGTGTGGAGGCCTCGGCAACACCACCTCAAAGACTAGCTGCTTCTCCAAGGTCAGGGCCTGGAGCAGGTGCAGATGGCATTTCTCTAGGGCAGTTTCAGGCAGCCCAAGTGCCCACTGCACTTCCTACTCCATTTCCAGAAACCAGAGACCAGCCAGCACCTATCCAAGATGCCTTGGAGAGCCTAGCTTTGCTTCCGGGAGGTTGCGCACCCGGAAGTCACTTTAAAGAGGTGCCCAGAGACTGAGCTTGTTGACCTCTGACCCCAAGAGGGGAGGGTATATTCTGCCCAGAGAAGCTAGGTTCTTGAGACCCCTCTGAGCATCATCATTCCTGTCTCCTATCCCCTGCACTGGCCACTTTTGGAGACTCTGGTCACTCCCTAGGTCTCTTTCTCCACCACATCCCCTCACACCCTGCAAAGTTTCTAGGGATAGAGAGGCTCCCAAGGTCTGTTTGTTCTTGACTTGAGCCTTAGCCCTGGAAGATGCTGGGGAGATGGGATCCTGAGAGGGGTGGGCAAGGGCAAGGTTCCAGTTCTGAAGGGCCTCTGGGAATTCTCCACCTGAGGATCAGCTCCCAGCATGGACTTGAGTGTTGCCTTGGGCGTGGTCTAAATGGGAAGCCGTGTGATTGGGACCATAAATACCCTCCTGTCCATTATGCCTTGCTTTAAGGATGTTCTGAAGCCCTGGGATTCAGCCCTGGTATCCAAAAGGCAGAGCCCAGTTCTCCTGCTAAGCTGGACTAATAAGAGGTGGCTCCTTACTAGGTCTTCATGATGGGAAGCCTTGACAAGATCACCAGTCACTGGATAGCAGACTGGAACCTTAGTCCCACATCAGACCACTGTTTCTGCTGCTTTGCCCAGAAGATGCTCAGTAGAAGACACTGGGTTGGGGGGGGTGTCACAACATTTGTCCTTCAGCTTTGCCACACTCCTCCTTGGTCTTCCATAAGGTTTCTTCTAGGACCAAAGAAAGTGTGTAGGTACTAGGGTGTGGGCCAGGAGACTGTTGGGAGTTCAGGGAAGCCCTGCTTGGGATGGGAGGGGAACTAGAACTCTGAACTAGTGGAGAAGGGAGCCTCATTCATATGGAAGAAGGCAGAAATAAAATTGGGTGTTTGCTTCATGCCATGTGTTATGCTGACTGTGTATGTTAGCTGGGTGGTGGTGGCGCACGCCTTTAATCCCAGCAATCTGGGGGCAGAGGCAGGCGGATCTCTCGGAGTTGGAGGCCAACCTGGTCTACATAGTGAGTTCCAGGACAACCAGAGCTACACAGAGAAACCCTGTCTCAAATTGCTCCCACAAAACCAAAAAAAACTAAGGGTCTTTTCACCCCAAGTGCCCATGTGGGCTCCCCGGAAGTCACTCCACTCTCGAGGGCCAGCCTTTGGAGGCATGTAGACTGGCTCAAGATGACGGAGCAGGTAGCAAAGACAGAGCAGTTTGGTGTCCTGGAGGTTGGCCTTTGCCATCTTCCTGGAGAAGTCTCATGCTGAGATTTCCTTGGGGACCATGAGGACTCTGCAGCCTGTGTGCTCAGACTAGCTTAGGCTTCAGAACCGAGTCTGGTTCCTGAATCAGAGGACCAGTGCTGGACATTTATCGATCTTGGGAAAGGCTCATGCCAGGGATGCTGTCGATTTATTGATCTTGGTTATAGGAGGTGGTGGTGTCTGGCTGTGATGTTAGGAAATTGGGGCCTTGGCAGTGTTTCTCAGAAGAGCAACAGCCTCAGCAGGAGATCACAGACAGAAGCATCAGAAATACAGCTGCCTCAAGACCTCCGAGTGTCCAAACCAAGCATATGGCACGGGGCTAGGGTTCCCAGGGGCCCTGCCAGCAGAGGAGGGGATCTACTCTAGACTCTGAGATCCCCAAGGCTGTCATGACCCTCTCTAAGTTGTAGCTCTTGATCTCCAAATCCAGTTTTCAGAAGATGGGGTTGAGTGAATCTGGTGGTTCCTCTCTCTGGGGGTGGCCAGGGACAAAGTTGTCTTGTTGTATCCTCCCCACAGGAAGCCACATGTCCCTGTGATAGCCTGGTCTCCATGCCAGCTCTGAGTAATGGCATGTTCCACAAGTTCCACTCTGCAGCATGCCTGGTGGCCCAGGCCTTGAAGCCCATTAGCCTGGAGGCTAATCAGTAGCTAGCTACCTCCCCAACCTCCAGTAACAACTATGGATCCATTTATTCAACGGGCACTAAGAATGTCCATTAGGTGCCAGGCAGGCTTTATAGACACCAGGGATACCATGAACAAGGTAGGGAGAGGGATGGAAAATAACTTGCCGATAGGTAGCCATCTTGAATTGATAAATGACAGGGATTGGGGAACACTTACAGGCTGTTGGTTAGGAAGAGCCCCTATAAGAATGCATGCACAGGCCTGGGGTTACCTGTGAAAATGCTAGGGTAGGGCCACCAGTGCAAAGGTCCTGGGGCAGGAATTTCTGGCTACCAGCACATTAAGTAGGGTGAATCAGGCAAGGATAGACCAGGCAGAGACGAGGCATAGAGTTAGTTTTGAGTCTCCTGCAGTAGTTGCTGGAACCGAACTCGGGTCCTCTACAAGAGGCAATCTTAACCGCGGAGCCGTCTCTACAGTTGCCCCTTTCCCCTTTAAGTCCTTTGTCTTTAATAGGGGGAAACTGAGGCAGCAACCAGTTGCTTTCCACCAGGAGTTAGCTTTTTTGGTGTCTCTGGGACCTGCGAGGACGCCCGTCTCCAGTCTCTGCACTCGGAAATCAGCAGAGGGCGCTCGCAACACAGAGACGCACTCCTTGCGTCTCTCAAGTCTGACCAAGCGGAGTCTGGGTGCGGAAGATTTAGGAAAAGAGGTTCAGAACTCTCTCCCCATTCGGGTCCGGCCCCTAAGGTTCTCCGTCGCTGGGATGTGGCTCAGTTGCTACACGTGGATGCGGCTTATTTTGCCTACGCACCCCATCTCCCCTACACGCTTCTCAGAGCAGGAGACATGAGCTGGATCTGGGTGGATCTGGGTGCTCTGTCCCAGACTCGCAGACAGAAGGCAAATGGACCCTTAGAACAGACCAAGGTCTCAGCTCCCGGCCGGCACTGATCCTCATCTGTAAGAATCCTTCCAAGAACGTCGAAGACCCTAGGAACCTGGCTCCCCGGACTCGGCCCGGGGAGGAGAAAAGTGGTGGGGACCGGGTGAGTGAAGGGTGCATTGCGCGTCGCAGGTCCACTTCCCCCCAAAGCGCACCTTCCACCCTCCCTCGGTCGGATCTCCAGCCCCGCCTCCTTCCCTCCTCCAGCTCCCGCCCCCAGTCTCCTCCCTCCTCCCGCGGTGCCGGCTGTTCTCCCCACGCCCCTGCGCGGCAGGCTGGCTGCAGGCGCGGCACCAGGAGGGATAGAGAGCGCCTTTTCTGAGCGCCGGCTGCGCTTCCCTAGTCTGTTCGGTGCGTCCTGCAGTTGTGCCGCGCAAAGGCGCGACTTTCCTCCGGTCCCGGGACGGCAGTGGGACAACTTGGAAAACTTCTCTGGGGCGGACTGCGGAGACGCCGGGCACCGGTGGAAGAGGATATAGGTGATCTATGGCTGGGGCCGGGGGTGCGCGGGCCGCCCC